TATTTTTGATAAATTAATCAATCATATCCATAAATTTGTCCTTAGAAAATTAACCAATTTTTTTAAAATCAAATATATAACATAAAACAAAACAAAACAAAACAAAACAAAACAAAACAAAACAAAACAAAACAAAACAAAACAAAACAAAAATTAATAGCAAATATACCTTATAAAATTACTCTATCTAAAATGTAGCTTGTAGAAACATATGTTTAAAACATATTAATTATTGAGCCAAAAATCATTTTAAAAGCTTGCAATTATCAACAGAAAAAAGTTTTTATTTTAAAAAACTATTAAGTTAGTCTTTATCTATAATATATCATCAAGGAGTCAACCTCCAAGTCTCTCAAATCCAAAAATATGTTAATCAAAATTATTAAATATAATTAAGAATATATTTAATCAAACAAATCAATGAATATGAATAAATAAAAAAGGAAAGATAGAGACTTGTTACCATAATCAAGAAATTTGAAACCAAACTTTAAAATCCAGGCATTAGGCGGCACTGAAGTTACTGAATTTGTTATTTCAGATATGAAAGATGCAAATACAAGCTCAAAATTGTTAGAAATTATTGGTTTTTAAAGCCTAAGAATGAAAATCAATGGCTTAAGGCTTGGTTTAAGGTAAAATATAGATGTTTTAGGTGGATAAAATAGAGATTATAAGAATCATTGAAAAAGTGACATGATTGGTAGATTTCTAAGTGATTTTGATTGGATTTATAAAGAAGGAAACAAAGAAAAAAAGAAGAAAAGAAGATAATTAGCAAAAAAAAAAAAACTACAAAAAGATGAATTAGATGTTATGGTATAGATCAAATTCTGAAAAAAAAAATTGTGAGAGAAAGAGAGAGGAAGAAAAAGATCTTATTCCTCATTTTTTTTTATATGGTATGTGTTTTCCTTTCTCTCTCTTTTTTTTTTATTTGGCTTAACTTATTCTCTAGGTTTTCATTAATTTGATGTTTGAAAAATTTTACTTAGTATACTTAGAAAGGATCATGTAATTTTATGTAAAGATCATGATATTTAGAATATGGCTTATACAAAAAATATGGATAAAACAACCATATCTTGTACTGATATTTTGATTTTTTTAATTTTTTTTAATTTTTTTCTTCTCTTAATTTTATTGATCTTTTGGTTTTTCATTTGATATTTTATTTTCTCATTCTCATTTTCTTTTTTCAATTTTTATATTTTCCACTTTTCTTCTTTTATTTTTTTATGCTTGCAAAAAAAATAATATATAATGCGTAATAGCTAAAAAAAATAAAAAAACTCAAAAAAATAACAATAGTGTAAATATAACCTTTTTATTTATTTTCACTCCAATGGTTAAAATCCATATAGAAGTGCTAATTATATTTAATTTATTTGATATACAACTATTTTAATAACCTAATATGATTTGATTGATTTGAAAAATATAAAAACAACTTAGATAATTTTTAATTAACTTAATATTAAAAAGATAAAATTAAAAAAATTAATTAAAAAAATATAAAAATAACTTGAGTCAACTTGGGTGAACTCGTCAAACTTATGATATAAATAATAAGATTATGACAATATCATAATTAAAAAAAAAAACTCAAAGAAAAAAACTAGTGAGAAAAACATTGTTGTAATAAATAATATTTTAGTATTTTTGCAAAATATATAAGAATAGTAATTCTATAAAAGAAATGATAAAATAACATTTTATTTAGCACTCTTCTTAGGAGATGCCACATGGAAAGCTAAAAATTAAAAGAATATATTTTATGTTAAACAAAATTATATTTTATTATTTTTCTTATAAAAATAATAAAATACTATTCATTATAATATTTCTTTTCACTATTTTTTCCTTTGATTTTTTTAAATTCATATTTTTTATGAAATTATCATAATTTCATAATTTATGTATAACAAATTTATCTAAATTAACTTATATTATTTTTTATTTGAACTTTTTTAATTTTATATTTTAAGATTATATTAATTGATAATTATTCGAATTATTTTTAAATTTGTCAAATCAATTAAATTATATTAAATTATTAAAATAGTATTTTAAGATTATATTAATTGATAATTATCCGAATTATTTTTAAATCTGTCAAATCAATTAAATTATTAAAATAATTTTATATTAAATAAATTAAAATACATTTTACTTTTTTAAAAATCTTTTTCTATTGGAGTGCACATGAAAAAAAAATCTATATTACCTATTTAACTCTTTTAAAAAAGATCTCCTTTGGGAAATGCTAAAGAATTGAAATTAGACTCCAGGAATTTGAAAAGCCTAAATAATATTTTTTTTCTTCTAATTTTTAACTTTCCATTTATCATCTTCATCAGACATGCTCTAACAATACTAGTCTTGCAGTGACATCTTCGTAAATAATCCCGAAAACCACGGGGTGTTAAAGTAGGAGAACGATCACGACTACATTTTAGATAGAGATATTGAGGGGACCCACACTCCATTTCTTTTTCTCTGTCTTTTTGTTTGTTAGCTTCTTCGATTCTATTATCACTCCCTCACTCAAGGTTTCTCTCTGCACACAGTACACAGTCAGTCACGGATACTAGCTTTGGAGTTAGAAAAAAAACTAAAATCTTTAGATCTGAAAGCAACAAACCCCTCCTGAAATACCCTAGCTTCCTTCAAGGACGGTCTGGGTAAGCATTATTATTTTTGTTGTCATTGGATCTCATTGTCAGTGTTGTTTTTGTTGTTTTCTCGGATTGTCAAGAGATCTAAGTGGCTTAGAACTTGTTCTTGTTCATGATTTAGCGAATGTAGGAATTTTTTACTTAAAAACTGTTGCTGCGTTTTTTTTTTGTTGAAATCAACTTTTCCTCCCTTTTAAGCTTGAGATCTTGTTCAGACTAAAGAAATATCTAGAATTGTGCCAATAAGTCTAATAATATCGTAACTGGGATATGTAAGTTTTTTTAGTAAAATAAGCTGGCTGGTAGTTGAGAATGTCAGCAAGCAATAGGGAGAAAAATTGTCTTTTTTTTTTCTGACAAGTTTCAGTAGAATATATGTTATTCCTTGTTTGGTTTTGTTAAGAAAGTGGTAAAGGGCATGATATTAATATTGTATTTAGTTCTTGTTTTGTGTTTGTATGGTTGTACAAGGTTGACTCATGTATGCGAATGATTGTGTTAGGCTAAGCACGATTGTAGTTTTCTTCTTCAGGTCCAAACAACAACTTATTCAAGTTCAGAATTTTATTTTCTTTCTTTCTTTTCATGTATTTTCTGAATAGCCTTGGCAAACTGTAATTCAGTGAAAAAGATCTCAATGTTTCTGTCAATAATGTAACAGGATTGATAAATCCCGTGCTTTGTCTTGTATGCTACCTAAATCTCTTTGCTTTTAAATAAAGACATGCATTGTGTGTGTTCTACTACATGTTTTAAAGCTTTGCAGTTAGTTTTCAGTGTTCTGTACTGAATGGCATTTAGAGTCGTGATGCATTTGCAATTAAACAAGTTAGGTAGTCTTTCCTCAAATGTTTCCAGAGCTTATATTTTCAACTACCCTTACTCTATGCCTACTCCTGATCAGTCGATTGTCTTTGCAGGTGTGTATGTTTTACTTGTCTGGTAAAAGTACTTTTCCTGTTGGTCAATAAGGTAAGTTGCTTCAGTTTCCTCTCTTTCTGTAGTTTACATTTGTAAGCATATAGGGTGCATCATGGTCCCATCTATGGATTACTAAATGTCTTTTGAATGCTCCATGTAGTTAGAGTGAGGTTGCAAAATAACTTGAATGGCAGTCATGGATGCTCAAAACCCTCTCGTTGGAGAAGCAACTTGTGGCACTTTATTGCAAAAGCTCCAGGTATTTCATTTTCTGATTGTTCAGGTGTATGACATGAAGAATCATAACTTGTCCCTGATGTGGTGTAGGAAATCTGGGATGAGGTTGGTGAAAGTGACGAGGATCGGGACAAGATGCTCATTCAAATAGAACAAGAGTGCTTGGATGTGTATAAGAAGAAAGTTGAGCAGGCAGCAAAGTCGAGGGTACAGCTTCTTGAGGCCTTATCAGATGCCAAAATTGAACTTGCCCGTCTTCTATCAGCCCTTGGAGAAAAAAGTTTTGCAGGAATTGTGAGTGTTTTATTTGACTTTGTTTTGTATGGTCCGCTTAAGCATAGGTCTAAAGTGTGTATTATGGTGATGTGTTGATGCAAAACTCCTTGTGGTAATGAACTGTGAAAGCTGGCTCCTCATGGCTTTCATTGGTTTTAATTTCAGCCTGAGAAGACTTCAGGCACAATCAAGGAACAACATGCAGCTATAGCACCAGCACTTGAACAGCTGTGGGAACAGAAAGCTGAGAGAGTGAAGGAGTTTTCTGACGTACATTCACAGATTCAGAAAATATGTGATGAAATTGCTGGGAACTTAAATATCAATGATGCTCCTGCAGTTGATGAAGCTGACTTATCCCTAAAGAAGTTGGATGAATATCATGCCGAACTTCAAGAGCTTCAAAAGGAAAAGGTAAATCTCTCTATCTTGGTAATGGTGCGTCATATAATTTCTAGCTTTCTAGATCTGTCAAGTTAATTGTTAACTGCTAATTTTAAATTGTAGAGTGGTAGGCTGCACAAGGTCCTTGAATTTGTAAGCAGTGTGCATGATCTCTGTGCTGTCCTCGGGATGGACTTCTTCAGTACTGTAACTGATGTTCATCCAAGCTTAATTGACTCAACTGGCGTGCAATCAAAAAGTATTAGCAATGATACATTAGCAAGGCTGGCTAAGACAGTCTTAGCGTTAAAAGAAGATAAGAAGCAAAGGCTTCATAAGGTAAGTCTTTCAGCATTGTAGTTTTCTCTGCCTGGGAGAATATATTTTCCTTGGTACATTTTCACATGAACCTAAGGACATAAGATTTTGTACTAATTGAGAGCCTTAACCAAATGATGATCCTGTAGATCAATCCTTAGCATAAAGATATTCTGTGAACTGTAGATCAATCCTTAGCATAAAGATATCCTGAAGAAATGGGATATCAATTTTTTACATTTTTAAACTGAAAAATTAGTTATGCTATATCAGGACCCTATTTCCTCGAGGCTTTTTTTTTTCTTTGTTGTTAAATAAGTTTATCTTGTGAACTAAATGTGTCTGCTTGATGTTTTCTGAAAACTGCATTCTTAATGAATTCTTGTAATTCAGATATATTCTTTCAACAGTAGGGAAAACGGTGTTCTGCATCATATTTCTGTTTGACATCTTCAAAACATATAAAACAAGTATTGTTTCCTCAAAATTTGTACTTTACATGTTTTTACAGCACCAGTATAATTTGTATAACATCCAAAGGGAACAAAGTCTAAAGGTTCTTTTGTAAAATGAAGTGTCACAACAGATATATTTTTAGCTGCATGTGCTTGATTTGTATTCTCCACTAAGATTCATAATATCTTTGATTTGTATCTTCCGACCACAGCTTCAAGAGCTGACAAATCAACTTATTGACCTGTGGAATCTGATGGATACTCCAATGGAAGAAAGGAAATTGTTTGACCATGTAACCTGTCACATGTTGGCTTCAGTTGATGAAGTGGCTGTCCCAGGAGCTCTGGCGCTGGATCTGATTGAGCAGGTATTTGAATTCTGCAAGCAAATATACCTGCAAGGTTGAATAACTGTGAAAGCTGTGTACTTTTTTTTTTTTTGGTGAAAACCCTGAAAGCTGAATACTGATTTCACTATTACTTGCTTTTAAGGCTGAGGTTGAAGTTGAAAGGCTTGATCAATTGAAAGCCAGCAGGATGAAAGAAATTGCCTTCAGAAAGCAAGCAGAGCTTGAAGAGATATATGTCCATGCTCATATAGAGATAGATCCTGAGGCTGCTCGAGAAAAGATTATGACTCTCATTGATTCTGGAAATGTTGAGCCAACTGAGTTACTGGCTGACATGGACAATCAGATATCAAGAGCCAAAGAAGAAGGTCTAAGCAGAAAAGAAATTTTGGATAAGGTTGAGAAATGGATGTCAGCATGTGAGGAAGAGAGTTGGCTAGAAGACTACAATCGGGTATTTTGATCTCTCTCCTTCTATGTGACATGCTGTCACTGCTGATTTGAGAATTTCAATGATCACTTCCAAGAGATCTCTCCACTGCTTTCCTGGTACCGGGGTAGGGCATGTCATTGTTTTAGGGAGGGTGGTTGATGATACATATACATTATAGATGCGTGGGGGCATTAATAGGAAAAAAAATATTTCAAGTGATGAAGGGTCATGGCCTCTCAGGTCCCCCAAGAAATTCCTGCATCGGGAGCTGATCTATAGATCCCCTTTTATGTGGGAAATATTTGTTTCTCTGCTTACACTTGTTTTGTTTGGCAGATAATAGGTTTACATGAGTGATCTTGCTTGCTGATGTTTTTATTTTTATCTAATCGTGTAGTCAGGTTTGCCTAGTAACGGGATATCTCTGTCCCCTGGTTGCATGCTGATGTTTTTATTTTATCTAATTGTGTAATCAGGTTTGCCTGGTAACAGGATATCTCTTTCCCCTGGTTTTCTTTGACAGATAATAGGTTAATGTGATTGATCTTGCTTGCTGATGTTTTTATCTCGTCTAATTGTGGATTCCACATTTGCCTAGTAGGAGGACAGCTTTCTCATTTTGACAGTATATGACTGGAAAAACTCGAGTCCTAATGGTAAATGATGAGGTTAAACATAGTGAAAAGGATCAACAGATCGAACTAGATTTTCTAGAAAGTAGGCGAAATTACTTGTACACCGCTGATTTGATGGTGTAACTTAAATGGCATTGTCTTTTTGAAACAGGATGAAAACAGGTATAATGCAAGTAGAGGTGCACATCTGAATCTCAAACGTGCAGAAAAGGCCCGTATTCTGGTTAACAAAATTCCAGGTATCTGTTGAATCAGGGAAGCCAAAGAGTTGGCAAGATCACCATCTTTTTTCTCTTTGTAAATTGTTCTGTGTAGATCTGGATCCAGAGATTTAATTGGTTTTGTTGGCCCATGTAGCTTTGGTTGACACCTTGGTATCCAAAACTCGGGCTTGGGAAGAAGATCATGGCATACAGTTTGCATATGATGGTGTTCCTCTCCTTGCCATGCTAGATGAATATGCCATGCTCAGACAGGAAAGAGAAGAAGAGAAGCGGAGAATGAGGGTGAGTTCCTATTTAGTGACTATTACACTGTTCCAGTTCACGCAGGCATTTAAACTAGAATGTGAATTGATTTGGGTCTAGAATGAGATTTGTTTGATCGCTCTCTTGCTAAAAGGAGATAACCTTGGATATGACAGGATCAGAAAAAGTTCCATGAGCAGCAAAACACAGAACAAGATGCCATTTTCAGTGCAAGACCTAGTCCTGTTCGACCAGTTGGTACAAAGAAGGTGGTTGGTCCCCGTGCAAATGGCAGTGCTAATGGAACTCCAAGCAGGCGGCTATCTCTAAATTCTCATCAAAATGGGAGCAGTTCTGTAACTAAAGGTGGAAGGAGGGATAATAGGCTATCTGCCCCTGTTAACTATGTTTCCATATCGAAAGATGATGCCGCCTCTCATTTTTCCGGCACCGACACAGTTTCTGCTTCACCATGATAAATTAAGAGAGATCCGGAGGTTTATACCTTGATATATTACTTCTATTACTTCTAGGAGCTTGTTGTAGTCATATAGTTGTGAAAACTGAGTAACTGGAGAGTGAACTGTTTTTAGTTGTGCATCTTATCTACATTCTTAAGCTGTTCTAATCCTCTCTGCTTTATATCTTCAGAACTAATTTTTTGTTGTAGTGCTTGGTTACTCGACGCTAAGATTCTAATGTAGAACAACTGGCAGCTGAGTTTCGACTGCAAAAATGGTCAAACCATGAGATTGTGAAATTTGAAAGGAAATGATCTCTGGGCAGAATCATGTGGTGGCTCGAAGAAGGTCATTAACTCGAAAAATGTCTGTTAACCAAGGTCCGGATGGACCAGAACTGGCTTTTTATACAAGCAACTCTGTTAAAGTCATCGACCAAGAAGCTCATATTGACCGAGTCATTGTGTGGTGTGCAATGCCATAGAAGCGGCACCTCCGTCCGTGATGTGATGAGGAGAGCACCAGTCAATAAAAACTGATTGACATGTTTTCCTTTTTATTTAAGAATGTAATAAATAATTTAAAAATCAAATAAGAATTTTAAATTCTCGTTCTCTGAAAAACAAGATAAAGAAACAAGTATAGAAACTAACAAAATTGTTTAACTAAAGATATACATAATAGATTTGTGACCAAAACCCATTTGTGTACGAGGGTTCTGATGAACATGTCAATATCCCAAGAGCTGGTAGTGTTGTGACTTGTAGAAGCAACAATATACTAATCGAGAACAATGGATGCAAGTGGGAATAGGCGTGGGAGGAAGACAAGCAATGCTAGAGAAGCATAAGTTGAGTGGTCAAAGTCCAAAGAGACGGAGCTCCAGAAGTCGTGTGGTATCAGAGGAGGAGAGCTTCGAGAGAGTTCTGGTCAGCAGAAGATCAAAGACAAAAGATGCCCTCGTGATGTCATGCCAAATCACGCACTTGTCATATTTGAGCTAGACAAAAGAAATTAGAGTTTTACATGCCGATCTTTTTTTTTTTTTTGCTTTAAAAATATATATATATTTTTTAATTTAATTTAAACTAATATTTTTTTAGTATTTTATATTATTTTAATATACTGATTTTAAAAATAAAAAAATATTATTTTAATATATTTCTAAGTAAAATATTATTTTGATATATTTCTAAATAAAATTATTTTAATATATTTCTAAGTAAAATTACTTCAATTATATAGTAAAAGCTGAATAAAACCACATTGAACCTTCATTTAGAGGCTTTGAGCTCATAAGGCAATCTCTTTAATGTATCCTAAGGACAAGGGATGACCATTAGTCTTGCCACATTATCTGCATCCACCTTTCCACGGCTCGAGCTTTGTGTTAAATAAAGCCATTGTCAATCCATTTGATGTGTAGTCTAGATACATGTTAATTTTTTTAAATGACATAAACTAAAATATAAAAAAAATTTAAATTATGAATTAATTTTAGTAACAAATCAAATCTACAACACCACTAGAAATTTGACAAATACAAATAAAAACACCGATAAATTTTTTCGTCAGTAGATTGCGAAATTTGACAAATACAAATGAAAACACCGATTAATTTTTTCGTCAGTAGATTACGGTAAATTTTGCCGACAAACTTTTTCATTGCTATAATTGTTGGTAAACATTAATAAAAATATTTCATCTATATATACCAAGAGAATTGCAGAAAAAAAAAATAAAAAAGCCAGAAAAGTACAAAGATGTGTAACTTTTACCAATGACTTTACTGATAGAATTAATCTAACGGTAAAGTTAATCCTTAAATATATTGACAAAAATAATCCCTCGATATATACCAATAAAATTATAGATGATATTAAAATGGGATTCAACAAGGCAAATTATATAGTGATGTGATATTTTTTACCAGTAGAATGACCGATGGAATGCTTAACAGAATAATTATATTGGTATATTCATCGATAATATTTAATTTATGACCTGGCGATCAACCCTTCTTTTCTCCTCCCCTTCCTCTCCTCCATTTCTTCTTTTTTCTTATGTATTTTTTCTAAAACAAATATCCACCCCCTTCAATCTCACCATAATTCAACCTCTCACAATAAATTCAGCTACCATAACACTTGATTTGTTAACATTCATGTTCTGATTCAAATTTTATTAAGGATTCTCCATCTTAAGGAAATAAATCTACCTTTTTTATTTGAACACAATTTTTAAATGTTAATTTTTTTTATATCTTTATAGTATACGTATTTTGTTTGGGTGCTTACTTATTTTATAATTTTTTCTCATACAATTTTGTTGAATGAATTTATGATTTATACATGTTATGATTTGTTTTAGATTTTATAAAATTTTATTTATTTGTAAATTGATGAAATTTATATTGAATTTTTTACTTCAATGTTTTGTGATAAAATAAATAATGACTTATTTAATAAGTTTGTTTTTATATTTTATCAATTTTGTTGATGAGTTGTAATTTTTTTATAAATGTGTAAAAATTTGAATTTATATAGATATATAATTAATAATGAATTAAGAGAACTATTAAAATAGATTGAATAAGATTGAGCTAAACCAATATTTTTACAAATTAATATAGTTAACGTAGTTAATTAATATATGTTGTCATCATTATTTAAATATGTTTGATATAAATAATGGATAATCATTCATGGATGTATCGAGATTAACCCTAAATGTTGTGAATGACGGATTATTATAATGATGTTCAAGGTTTTATTAATTATACACTATCTAATCCAAAAAATATTAGTAGTGACAGTATTACATGTTTATGCAAGATGTGTAAGAATAAAGCATTTATCAATCTGGATATTATAAAGATATAACTTATATAAAAACAGTTCATGGAGAAATACTTGTATTAGTATGCATACAGAGGATCATATATTCCTCATGATACCATGATAGAGAAGATGGTTGGATCAACTTCTAGTGCTAGCAACATGTATGAAGTTGTAGATGATAATAGTACTTTTTATAGGAATATGATTATGGATTCAATGAGAATGAATTAAGATCATACTGGTCATTGTCCAATCATATATAAAGAACCTAATGTAAACGCGACTAGGTTTTTTAATTTTTCAAAAGATTCTGACGAACTATTATGGAATAGTTAGACAAATCATGATAAATTATTGGTTGTTGCATATGTGTTCACCATCAAGTCAGATCATAGGTTGAGTAAGGCTAATTATGATAGAATTGTTGAATGGACAATAAGTATTTTACTTAAAGGGAACAGACTGAAAGAAAACTTCTATGCTGCTAATTCTATAATATAACCCCCTCAGTCTAAAATATCAGAAAATTGATATATGTCCAAACTTCTATATATTATACTATATTAAAAATGCAGATTTGACCAAGTGCATAATACATGGGCATTCTTGTTATAAACCCATAACTAGTAGGGGAAGGTTTTTTATCGCACATAGAAAATTTAGATACTTTCCAATCACATATAAATTAAAAAGGTTATTCATGTCACCAAAGACTGCTGGGCATATGATATCAATCATATGATGCGGTGGATGAAATAATGATGCATCCTTTCAATAATAAAGCTTGGAAACAATTTAACAATATACATCCTCAATTTTTAGTGGAGATAATAAATGTGTTTCTTAGGTTATGTACAAATAGATTTAATCCATTTGTTGCTCTTTATTCTTATTGGCCAGTAATACTCACGGTTTATAACTTGCTACCGGGGATGTGTATGAGGTTGAAGTTTATATTTTTATCTATGATTATACCCGGTCCTAATAGTTCAAGTCAGAATATAGATGTTTGTCTTCAAACGATAATTAATGAGTTGAGATAGTTGTGGTCATCTAGGACTTTGAATTATGATATATCAAGAAAAAAAAATTTCTAGTGAAGGTAGCTTTAATGTAGACTATAAATGATTTTTCAACTAATGAAATGGTTTCTAGTTAGAGCACGCATGGAAAACTAGCATATCCATAATGTATAGAAAATAACAAGGCATTCATATAAACAAATAATGGTATAACACCTTTTTTTTTACAGTTATTGATGATTCTTGCCAATAAATCATAGGTTCAGAAAGAATAGAAAGGACTCTTTTATTGGAAAAGTTGAAAGGGATGTTGCACCACTGCTTTTTTCAGGTGAAGAATTATATAACATGGTGTCGGGGTACAATGACATTGTGTTTAGTTTTAATTCAGTAAGTAAAAGTTTTTTAAATTTCATGTCACCAAAGACTGCTGAGTATATGATATCAATCATATAATGCGGTGGATGAAATAATAATGCATCCTTTCAATAGTAAAGCTTGGAAACAATTTAACAATATACATCCTCAATTTTTAGTGGAGATAATAAATGTGTTTCTTAGGTTATGTACAAATAGATTTAATCCATTTGTTGCTCTTTATTCTTATTGGCCAGTAATACTCACGGTTTATAACTTGCTACCGGGGATGTGTATGAGGTTGAAGTTTATATTTTTATCTATGATTATACCCGGTCCTAATAGTTCAAGTCAGAATATAGATGTTTGTCTTCAAACAATAATTAATGAGTTGAGATAGTTGTGGTCATCTAGGACTTTGAATTATGATATATCAAGAAAAAAAAATTTCTAGTGAAGGTAGCTTTAATGTAGACTATAAATGATTTTTCAACTAATGAAATGGTTTCTAGTTAGAGCACGCATGGAAAACTAGCATATCCATAATGTATAGAAAATAACAAGGCATTCATATAAACAAATAATGGTATAACATCTTTTTTTTTTTACAGTTATTGATGATTCTTGCCAATAAATCATAGGTTCAGAAAGAATAGAAAGGACTCTTTTATTGGAAAAGTTGAAAGGGATGTTGCACCACTGCTTTTTTCAGGTGAATAATTATATAACATGGTGTCGGGGGTACAATGACATTGTGTTTAGTTTTTAATTCAGTAAGTAAAAGTTTTTTAAATTTTGTTTAACCCATAATTGGGTAAAACAAAGTATTTTCTGAGAGCTTTCTTATTGGAAGAACAATCTTCTCCGCCATAACATTGATGCCATGCATATAGAAAAGAACATGTTTAAGAACATTTTCAATATGGTTATAAATATAAAGGGGAAGACAAAGGGCAACATCAAGGCTAGAATAAATATAGTTTTGTTCTGTCACCGTAAAAACATGGAGTTAGTTTATGTTGAGTCACAAATTGCAAAACCCAATGTCAGCATCGCTTTAGATAAGAATATACAATTACTTATCTATCAATGACTTAAAAGTTTGTATTTGCTTAATGAACATGCCTCAAACATATCAAGGTTGATGACTTTAGAGGATTATAGATTGTATAGAATGAAAAGCTATGACTACCACATGTTTATTGAAACACTCATTCCATTAGGTTACCATGATTTATTATCAAAAGAGATATGAGATGTACTCACGAAGATCAGTCACTTCATTAGAAATATATGCTCCAACATGTTGCGACACATGGAGATGCTTGAAAATGATATCATCCAGACAATATCCAAACTTAAGATGATATTCTCTTTATTATTTTTTTTTGACTTGATGGAGTATTTACCTATACATTTACTATTTAAGGTAAAAGTTGAGGGCCCTGTCTATTCAAGAGGCTAGGGTTTACACATGCATCGTAATTAAAATTTTGTTGTCTTTCTTCTCATATTTCAAAACATTCATTTAATTCCATGAAGATACATGTTCAACCTTAAGAGAAAAGTAAAAAATAAAGTCAAATATTGAGGTTTTGATATGCGAGGTCTATATTGTTGAAGAGATCTCAATATTTATCCCATACTATTTTAAGCCTTAGTTGAGAATAAGAATCAACCGCGTTCCAATGCATGATGATGGTAGGGAAGTGTCTTTGAATGAGAACTTGTCAATATTCTCCCATCATGAACAACCCATACTAGAAAATGTTGTAAGGGAAAGATATTTATCAGAAATAGAATTTAAACAAGCACATAAGTATATATTTTTTAACTGATATTTATCAGAAATAGAATTTAAACAAACACATAAGTATATATTTTTTAATTGTGATGAACTGAGATCTTTTATTCAGTAAGTATACTACTTAACATGTCATTATTTTCAAACATTTTGTCTCTTATAATATCTTCAACTGATACATTGTTGAATTTTTGATAAGCAACATCAGTAATATTTAATGTCGCAAAACTTACAATTGACTAAATCCTAAATCTTTTGATTATAAGATGAACAATTTTCATTTATTTATTTTCCTTGGATGATAAGATTTTTTATTACATCCATTTTTTTATCAATTGTTTTTTATAAATATATTTAAGTAATAATATTTTTTTTTATTATGGGTTACGATTCTTTGACTCGAGCTAAGCTTAATGGAGTTTTTGTTATTGAAATGTATGTGTGGAGTGATGACCACCACAAAAGGGTGTATTGGTTCTTTCATAGCTAAACGCAACACTTTGTGATATGTTGGTTTTCAATTGTTTTTTTCTTAAATTATTATTTCTTTAAAGTTGATGAATTTATTTTTTCTTTCTAAGATACATATAACAATCGAATGAAGGAGAAAAACGAGGACTATCCTTCAACCCAACAAAATATCAATCCGGATTTGTGATTGGAAGCAGGATTATTTGTTGGGCTCGATAGAAATCAGTGTATGGACTCTTTAACTTTATGACCAAGAACTTGTAGATGACTTATAGTGCTTTGACAATTACATGTTCACAATTGACTCCAAGCATTCAAACTCCAGAGTTTATAGTGATGTTAGACTAACGAGTACAAGTTCGGACGACTTATCTTAATGATAAATATGAATGACTCATTGCTGATTATAAAGAACTCCACCGATTAGTAATGAAGATGAGATCATAGATGAATGATTTATGTACACCCCATAATTGGCCTTATGGTCCCGGCGGCGACTAGCCTCATCCTCCTTCAGCGCCACCTTTATTTTAGA